CATCTCTCAGAGTACAAGGAAGGCATGCATCGAGACTCTTCTCTGTTCTGGCACCAAGGTGGTGGAATGAACTTCCCCTAGATGTCCGAACAGCTGAGTCACTGGCAGTCTTCAAACGACGTCTAAAGACTTACCTCTTCATAAAATACTTAAATTAGCACTTTCACAAAAAAAAAAAAAAAAAAAAAAAAAAAAAAAAATCTCCTCCCCAACAGAGTTTTGGACTGATGGTATTCCTAGTTTGTGACCTAGCGAGCCAATATGAGAATGTATTTTTGATAGACTTCAAAGCACTATTGTAAGTCGCTCTGGATAAGGGCGTCTGCCAAATGCCATAAATGTAAATGTAAATGTAAAGATGAATATGAGACGATAGATCAAAATTTTAACTTTCATTTCTTGATATTTACATCTAGATGTGTTAAATAACTTAGAAAATGGCACATTTTGTTTGAACCCATCCATCATTTTCAAATGATCAAAAATATTGGATATGTGCCTGACACGTGTTTATTGTTGCCCAGGTGTGCACTGTTAGATACACCGTTTTTCAGACAATTAATAGTTCTGAATGTCTACTCTTGGTTTGAGCACTGGGTTTTGCCTGTGAAGGCTGCATGTGTTGTTAAAAAAGATAAACCAACATGAAGTCCAGAGAGCTGTCTATGGGACAATAGCAGGCCATTTTGGAGCTGAGAAAAGAGGGAAAATTGATCAGAGCCTTTGCATAAGCATTGGGCATAGCCAATACAACAATTTGAAATGTCCTGAAAAAGAAAGAAACCACTGGTGTACTAGACAACCAGATATCGAACACGTCGACCAAGGAAAATAACAGCAGTTGATGACAAACATTGTGAGAGCTGTGAAGAAAAACCCAAAAACAACAGTCAGTGACATCACCAACAACCTCCACAGGGGAGGGGTGAAGGTGTCATAATCTGCCATTTGAAGAAGACTTCGAGAAATATAGAAGCCACACCACAAGAGTCAAACCACTCATCAGCAGTAAGAATTGGAAGGCCAGATTGGAATTCGCAAAGAAAGACAGAGATGAGCCACAAAAGTTCTGGAAAAAGATAAACCTCTAACAAAGTGATGGAAAGGCCAAAGTGTGGAGACAGAAAAGCTCTGCTCATGACCCAAAAAATATGGGCTCTTCGGTCAAGTACGGTGGAGTGCAGTGTCATGGCTTGGGCTTGCATGGCTGTTTGTGGAACAGGCTCACTGATGATGTAACTCATAATTGGAGCAGCAGAATGAATTCAGAAGTCTACAGAAACATTCTGTCTGCCAATTTACAGAGCAATGCATCCAGTCCTATTGGGAGGAACTTCATCATGCAGCAAGACAATGACCCAAAACACACTGCCCACATAAGAAAGGACTTTATAAGGGTGAAAAAGTGGAAGGTTTTAGACTGGCTATGTCAGTCACCAGACCTTAACCCTACTGAGCATGCATTTCAATTCCTGAAGAGGAGACTGAAGAGGGAAACCCCTCAAAACAAACAACAACTGAAAGAAGCTGTGGTTCAAGGCTGCAAAAGCATAATAAAAGAAGAATGCAACAGTTTGGTAATGTCATTGGGTTGCTGGCTTGGTGTAGTTATTGCAAGTAAGGGGTATGCAATATTAAGTTTTATTTAAGACTATCCATTCCAATACTTTTGTTCACCTAAAAATTGGGTGGTCTGCCACTGAAGGTGCCATGTTCTTTAGCACATCTAGTTTTTTAACACATCTAGGAAATGAAATTCTGATCTATCGTCTCATATTCATCTTTTGATCTCTAGCCCAAATGTCTTCAGTGTATAGCAAAAAAAAAAAGGATTTGCCTTGCCATTTCAATACTTTTGGAGGAGACTGTATATGCCATGGAAATTGGATCAAAGAAACAGAATTAATCAAAAATGTACTTAAGTAAAAGTAAAAAAGTTGCTACTGTTCCATGTACTCAAGTATTAAAAGTAAAAAGTAAATGTATTTAACTTATGAAATGATGTCATGCTTTCATGTGAAAATAACTTTTATTACTTATCTAAAACTGTGAAAATTAAATTTTTGTTTTAAAGCAACTTAGTAGAAAACATCATTCTCTGATGCATCTCTGTAAGTTTGGTGGTCATATGCATGACTG